CATTTAGAAAAGATATGATGTAGACATTTGCATTCTAATATCATGTCCAACATGCATGCAGCAGCATGATCTCTAGTTGGCTCTCATCCTGTAGAGCCTCATTTCCCTTCTCCAAAAGTGGTCAGGAAAAATGTCCTCATAGTCTGACTTGAGGCATTTCTGCAGTGATCACACAGAGGAGCAGAGCTGAATGTGCTTTAAAAGTGTGCAGTGCTGCGCAGATACAACAGCTGTGTCTTGTGGTTGCTCATCTTTAGCCTTGTGCTTCCCTCTTAATAAAACAGGGATCAACTCATTACTTATTGCAGCATAGAGCTATTAAGTAGTTAAGACGACTAATAGCACAGCTGAAATCTGCAAAGTAAAGTTTATTTCTGTTGTTCGTGTTTTGTCTTTGATATAGGAAGAGTTGAAGGAACAGAGATAGTATAAAAATAATGTGTGTCATTGTTCTTCTGCACAGTACTATACGATAATACTTTTTTATTTGAACTGGCTGCATCATATAGCAGTGGTTCTCAGAGTGTGGTGCCTGGACCTATAGAATCAGCATCCCCTGGAACTTGTTAGAAATGAAAATTTTTAGGCCCACCTCAGATTCTCCAATCAACTTGAGGGGGAGCCCAGAGCCACGTGTTTTAATAAGCCCTGCCCGCATCCTACTGCTCACTGTCATCCCAGAGAAAGGTATTTATTTGGATCTTCAATGAAGGATCTGACAAGTGTCACCTGGAACAGGGTAATCATTTCTCTTTCTGTCTGCACTCACTGGCACACAGGTATCCAAGCTTGGATGACCACTGTTGAATTCTTTCTATAATGCGCTCTATCACTGCCCACCCAGCGCAGAGGAGATGGGGAATGCCACTTCCGTGCATCTGTGATGAGGCGACTTCAGGGTGTGAGGAAATTAAAGCTGCTTATCACAGACCGTTTTCCCTTCTGCGATGGAAGAAAGGAGCCTTAGCCTAAGAAGGCTTTCAATTGAGCCCACTCGCGGAAACGTGAAGCTTGCAGTTTCAGCACTTACATTTCTTTTGACTTTTCCCTTTAAAATGAGCTGCACCAAGGCGGAGGTGCTTACTCAAGTTCTGAATCACTCACTCCTGCCTGTACGGTGAGTTAGGGAGAAGGGACAGAAAGGCACTTTCCCACTGACCATTTTCTCCTTCCTAGAGAATTCTAGATTACAAAGGGAAAGGGACTCAGGCTGTCTTTGTATGATAGCCGTTTTATGGGAGGACTTAGTATCTTAGCAAAAGAAAGTTTTGTTAGAGTTGTGCTGATATGATTGGCCTACTGCCTGCTTTTGTAAATAAATTTTGAACAAAACACAGCAGCACTGATTTATTTATGTACTGTCTCTCTGCTTTCATACTACAAAGGCAGAATTGGGTGGCTATGAGAGAGACCACATAAGCTGCAAAGCCTAAATGCTTGCTAAGAACACATTTGTCAACCCCCATTGTAGGGATCCTGAGTTCCTTAAATGGAACCTTGAGAAGCCAGTGGACTGGAACTGGAAGGACAGAGGGAGCAGAAGGGAGTGGTGACATCCCCACGGGCTCCTAGGGATCTGGCAGGAAGAAAACCAGAGAGATGTTATTCTTTGTTGCTCATTTGAGTTGGTTTTGTGTGAATTTTGAGAGGTGACTGTGTTTAAATACAGAAGTATTTTATGCTTGGTTTGAATTTGTGGTTGTTCAATTTTATATTTATTCCTAGGGTTGGGTATTAATAGCAAAACTACAGTATTTCCTGCTTCCAATAGTAACTAACATTTATTGGTGCCTAGTGTTCTACTATTTAATGTTTACAACAATTCCATGGGGTGGTTATTGTCTTCTAAATAATAGATGATAATAGATGACAAAATTAAAGCACATTAAATTTAATGCTCAACGTTATCACGCTGTTGGTGGTGTCCTGTTTTAAACGCAGATCTTCATGATGCCAAAGCCAGCATTCAAAACCAATATTTTTCAAATTGGGGATGGATAAGTTACTTTAGTGTATGAAGACAGCATCTTTTTCCTTTTAACACTTATGCAATAGAAAATACCTGAATGTGTCCCATGTAGCTTGTATTGATAAGTCTCAATGTGTGAAACTTTTGTTGTAGCTCTGGGCAGCAATGTAGATGATAATCCAGGAGTGAAAGAAGAGAAAGAGTGCAGGAGGAAGAAATATGGAAAAATGGATAAGCAGCTATAAGACAGCATGATGAAGAGCATGGAAGATTCAAGAAGAAGGAGAGAAAGTAGAAGGGAGCAAGGAAAGGGAGAGGTCATGGGCAACCCTGGAAGACAGACAGGTTAAGGAAGTGGGGAAGGGGAGGCCAAGGCAGAGGAGGAGCTACAGAAATCATGGTTCCATTTACTGCTCCCTTTAGCACATCCCTGTTTGATGGCAAAACTGGAGAGATGGAAGCAGATTTTGGTTTCCGTGTACTTCTTATGCTATGATAGACTTGTCCTTCTGAATGTGAGTTGAATACAGATTTTCACAAGACATTGCTCGTGCATGCAAATATTTTTTCACACTTTAAACTCAATTAAAAATCAATGGTCTGGGGTCGAGGATATAGTGCAGTGGCACAGTACCTTCTTGGCAAGTGTAAGGTACTGAGTCCAATTCCAGGTACCAAAAAAAAAAAAAAAAATCAATCATCTAAAGAGAAAACAGACTGTGTTGAAAGTACTAAATGTACTAAATACACCCCTTCCACGGGTTTGGCAAAGATGGATTTGAATATAGTGAAGATGACTGATTCTATTGTATAGCCTCATCTGTTTTAGATGGAAAACAGCAGATTTTAAAGTTTTCTCTTGACAGAGAATTCTACACCCATTAAGCATTTTACTTTCAAAGAGTTCAGGAGTCTGTCAGACAAGTTTTACACATGTGGAGATCAAATGAACATTTGCATGATGTTTCCTTATTCACAGATGATTTCATAAGCATCTTATTGTTGAGTCTTCACAGCCACTTAGCTATGTTGCTCTTGTGTAGATTTTACTGGAAAACGTGGGGCTCAATAAGCTTAACAGTCTCATCTAGTCTTTTATTTTTCTCTGGAGATTAACACTGATTACCATATTGTGTATTGTTATCTTCAAAGCAGTTGTTCCAATTACAAGATATAGGCTTGAAAAATGATAAAACAATAAAACAATGAAAATACAAGCTCTTTTTTGATGAACTAACAGAGATTAGTAGTATAGTTATCTATCTTGTTTGTGTGTGTATATGTATAGATAGATATAGATATAATCTTTTCCAATACATTGCATGTATTTTTTGTTTGTTTGTTTTTTGTTGTTTTAGTACCAGGGATTGAACTCAGGACCTTGCACTTGCCAAGCAGGCACTTATGCCACTGAGCTAAATTCCCAGAGGCTGTATGTGTATGTTTCTGTTTGTTTGTTTTGTTTTGCCATATAGAAGATGACAGACACAGATTTCAAGCATTAATTTTCTTATCCTCTATAGAAAAAATAGCAATAGATTGAAAAACAACACTTTGTGTTATAATTTACAAGGATAATTTTGCTTATAAATCAGAGAGTAATGCAAAGTCTAAATTGTTGGAGGGGCTGTGAGGAAAAAAACAACCTTCTACATTGTTGGTGGGAATATAAACTAGTATATCCACACTGGTGATCAGTTTGGATATTTCCCATAAAACTAAAACTTGAAATTCCATTTGACCCCATGTTTCTCTCCCAGGTATCTTCTTAAAAGAGTTAAAGATATTATATCAGAGTGATAGGTGCATACCCATGTTTATGGCAGCACAATTCGTAATAGCTAAGTCTTGGAAGAAACCTGTATTTCCATCAACAAGATGAATGAATAAATGAAATGTATTTACATACAATGGAATACTACTCTTCCAGATAAAAGGATAGACTTTGGTCACCTGTAGGAAAATGGATGCACCTTGTGATCCTAATGTTAAGTGAAAAAAATCACATACACAAGCTTATCTCATGGTGTTTTTTATATGAGCAACTCAAAACACAAACACTGAGCAAAATAAAAATTAGATAATAGCGTGGTGATAGATTTTTTTTTCAAATGGAAAGAGAATCAAGAGATGGAAGGGATGGGGAAGGAAAGGAGGGAAAGGGGATAAAAAAAGAATCAAGATGTATATATAGGTATATACCAATTCCCCATAAGGAATGAAATCATTCTGTAATTCAAGTCTGTGCTAATAAAAAAAAAAAAAAAACTGGGAAAAAGAAAAGAAAGCAAATGAGTGAAAGCCTAAATAAATAAATAAATAAATAAAATGCTTGGTATTTTACGTTGGTAGGGTATCATTATATAATTTACTCTTTTCTCAACCCAAAGATGTTTCTCTGTTTCTAGGCCCTACTGAAAAATTAAGGAAATTGTAGTGTTAAGCTCTATTGTGATCCACTCGTGGGCTTTTTTGGTTAAAGGTTGTTACAAGAATGACTTCTAAATAATCAATAATGATGTTGCATTCAGCAACTTGGGTTGTAGGAACAGCCAGAATGAACTTCATTTTCAAAGTTGTCATAGCCTGTCACAAAGGAATTGTGATGTTTTGCTCAGCTTCCAAAATGCCGTTGCTCTATATCCCAGCCATCTTGGTTGGCTTCAAGAATGGTTTGTTTCATTCCTGCTGCCTCTGCTGAAAACTTTTTGTGTAACAGGGCCCTCCGTCAAGGTAACACATTCTTGTTTTCTTCCAAAATCTCCTCAGTTTTAGTGAGGATTCATGGTTCCTAAGGTAAAAACTTTAAAGTCGATCATTTTTATTCTCCTATCCTCAAATAATTAGCTGCAAATGAAAGTATTCTTCCTCTCCACAGTTGGGTTCATTTTGCTGAGTTTGGGAAGATAAGACTCAGCCCAACACTTCACCAAAGGTCTGCCAACCCAAACAAATACACAGCTCGGGAAAACACGGCGGGTCCTAGCTTCGTACTGTGGTCACCGAGATTGCTGCTTTTATTTTATTTCAGAGATCCCGGAAGACCCACTTGTGGCTGAAGTGTATTATGCTGATGCGTTTGATTCCTGTTCTGAAGATAGTGAGGAGCAGGAAGGAGAAACAGGGTCCTTGGGACCGGAGGTAGAAGCCCAGGACGAGGGATCCCAGCCTACTTCCAGGACAAATCACCAGGTGGGTGTTGCTCCCTGAAGGAAGTGTGGAACTGCACGAGTCTTGTGCAGGGAGAGTGAGATTTTCAATACACCTGTTTGACTTGTCATCATAGTTTTGAGCCTTAATTATAAATGTAATGCAAGTACAAATTTTTCAAGACTGACTTCTTTCTGAGAATGAGACCCAGAAATATTCTGGGCTTAAGGGATGGTCTTTCTAGCTACTTTCAGCCTCTGAGAATCTATCCTTACGTACAGTGCTGAGGCCTCTCTAAATGTACACACTTTTAATAAGAAATCTCTTTAACTATAGCCACACCAAATCCAGTGTGGGTGACGACCAAGAAAAAGCTTGCCTGGAAGAGAGGGAGGCAAGAGGTGCTGCAGAGAGAGCAGATGACTGTGCGAAATTTCTACCTTTTGTTTTCATTTTCTAGTTAGTCTATAAATCTCATAACCCTTTTAATCATATATTTCCATGAAATATAGAAGCTTTTTATTAACTAGAAACCACTCAGCTACTGAAATAAAAGTCAATCCAGGCACACTTGAGTCAATGGAAACTCAATTTGAAGAGATGATTTTTAGAGGGAAGAAAAGATTTTACACAATCCATACAACCATTTTTAGTGACAACTAAGAAATCCATCATGTTATTCAATAAAACTAGTAAGAGATGTTCCTGAAATTCTATATCAGAGAAGGGGAGAGAGATAGGGAGAAGGGAGCAAGTAGAGGGAGACAGGATGAGGGCCAGGTGGAGAAGAGAATGAGAGGAAGAGGAAGAGAAAGAGGAAGAGAGAATTTAAGAGACACACACACGAGGAGAGGAACAATTAATTCATAACCCCCTCAGAAAACAGAATGAAAAGGAGGTGGGATTCAGAATGTCAAAATAAAAGTTTCTTTCATTTCTTTTCTTTTCTTTTCTTTCTTTCTTTCTTTCTTTCTTTCTTTCTTTCTTTCTTTCTTTCTTTCTTTCTTTCTGTTTTTCCTTCCTTCCTTCCTTCCTTCCTTCCTTCCTTCCTTCCTTCCTTTCTTCCTTTCTCTCACTTATTTTTTTAAGTAATAGACCCTGGGGGGAAAAATAGCACCTTCTACCAAAAATTAACAATATAGTTTCTATATATTTCTGTGCCAGCTCATCTTAATTGCTACCTTGACTGGTTTTAAAGATTCCTGGGGAGGAGATTGGGCCACGGAGGTGCTATGCTTCTCAGCAGATTAATCTCCTGGTGTTGACTGAGTGTGTCTTAGGAGGTGGGGCCCGGGTGAGGAGGGGGGTCACAGGGCAGGTGCCCTGGTGAGGATGTCTTCCTCACTGTCACTTGTCCTCTGTGCTCTGCTTCCTGGCTGCCCCAGATGAGTAGCAATGCTCCACCAGGCTCTCCTGTCATGATGCTCCATTCTGGAGCAGGCCTCTTATGGACTGAGACCCCGGAGACTGACCCGTAATAAACTTCTCCTCCTCTAAGCTGCATGTGTTGGGTATCTCGTCCCAGCAATGGGAAAGCTGACAACACTGCCACTGCTATAAATAACTGACATAATTATCACTGCAATATCACAGAAAATTCATTCTGTGCCTGTTGTTCCAAAAACACATGATACACAAAATACATACTCAATGTTTTCTCACAACACTAAAATTGGAATTCTAACATTGTAATTTAAGATTTTGTAAAAAATAAAATGTAGCTAACTCAGTCACATGAGTAAAATATATTGCATGTACCATTTAGGTCAAGAAATGTCACTTTGCCAGTCCTACAAGCCCAAATGTTGGTATAGTTATTAGAACACATGGTTGGAAACTAGATGGTCAGAATCTAAATCTAGCCTTTGTCATCTGCAAGTTGTGAACTCTGTATAAATTACTAGACTTCACTGTGCCTCAATTTTCTAACCTGCAACATGGGAGAATAGTGGCTCCTGCCTCATAAAGTGGTTTCAAAATTAAGGAAATTAGTATAAAATACTTTGCATAGTGCCAGAACTTATTTTGAACTTAATAAACATTTAATAATAACTTAGCTATTACTATTACAAAATTACCCAGTCATCTTGTGTCTTTTTTATGATGCTTCCAAAATATTCAATGTTACAGTGAGATTTTGCAAGTTCAGGTGAAAAAAATCTTTTTCTCATGGCTTAAGGCAGATTATAAATGTAAGGGTAGTGATTTTGCTTTCTGAGCTCTATATCTGTCATGTTATGAGACAAAGTTTGATTGATTTTAAATTGTCTGTTGAGATAAGGCGCTAAGACTTTGTAAATTCACAGTGGGTGGCATTTTGTCTCAGAATCCTGTTGGGTGGTTATCCTTAGTTTTTTGTTTTCCAGATAAAGACACTAAGCCTCTTAGTTACTTCTCTTATTGCTGAGACAAAAGCACGGCACCCGAAGTTAAAGAAAGAAAAGCATATTTTGGCTCACTGTTTGTCCAGGCTGTGGCTGGCTGGCCCTGAGGCATGGTGGTGTGGAAGAGGAGCAGCACAGAGGAGAAACAGCCCATGTCAGGGCAGGCAGGTGGCACACAGCAAAACACAGCAGCAGCAGCAACCTCCATTTCCATGCAAAATATAAATGTATTTATCACATGCCCTCAATCTATATTCACACACCCTCTGCCACCTGCAAAAAGCGCCACCATGAGGCTTTGAAAGGAATACAAGCTCTAATACCCTAAGCTATAATTGTCTCTGAAAGAGAAGTAACTTATCAATGCTCACACAGCTCGGGAAAGATGGGAGCCACGCTCAGGCCCAAGACAGTCACATACACGAGCCAGTGCTTCCCGTGCTGCAGAAGGCACATTGACCTAGCATGGAAGCGGTGAAATAGAAACAGGAGTATAAATCACAAGGAAGTGATTTGTATTGGAGACAGGTTAATTACAAGCCCATTTGTTGTTATTGTTGTTAGTACTAATTCAATGCAGCCCCCCCCCCCAAAAGCAGTCAGTGTAGGGTTGTGATTAGTGTTGATTCTTCTTTTGGAATTATTTTCTTAGCAACACAGTAATTGATTATTCTGGAAAATTCAGTGCTAAAACCCCAGGCACTGCTGGCCTTGTGGATGTAGCATCTCTAGGGTCGCCCCATCTCCCCTCTCCTAGTCTTGCTCGTGACCCTGAGAATCCTAGGGTGTGCCTAACAGGTCGTCAAACCCTTGGCTTTCACGTGAACAATCAGATCAAAATTGATTCTCTTTTCTTAAGATGGGAACCATATTTTGAGGGAGAGAGTAGTTTGAGTAACAGAAAGACTCAGCCTTATTGTGATTAATTATGGGGTCCTGTGCCTGCCATGACTATCTTTTCAGCAGTGGTATCTCTGAAGCATTTTTATTAAATTCCTAATTGCCATTGATAGTCTCATTTCTCTGCTGTGAGGAGTAAAACACTGATAACCCCTTTATTGCAAGCCATGATGGTATTGTTAATACTTTCTCTGAGAAGTTTCTGCTCACCAAATTGGAACGAGCCTCTCAGGTGCCAGGAGCGTTGAGTTGATCGCTGTCAAAATGGGCTGGGAGTGACCTGTCTCGGAGAAGTTGCATGTGCACTACAGGACAGTCCTTAGGGCTTCAAGCCGGATGTTTTGTTAACTGCTGTTTTTCCCTTGTTACTGTGACCATCATTTTCCTCTCCAAGACTAATAAATGGCCCAGGTGCCTCTGTAATACACGTGAGCTTGACACTAGTGACATGACCAGGACTCCCTCGGGAAAGACTCTGTTTAATGGATGTGGCTTTCACCAAAGCTTGTATTAAGAAGGCTCTTAGAACCCGGGGGTTTGTTTTGCTAAGCAGGACTACAGAGGTCCAATTGTTTTCCTAGCTAAGCCAGAAATTCTCAAGTGTTGGGGTGATTTGAAATTCCCTTGGTGCAGTAAAATATTAAGAAAAGCAGAGGTGCTTTTTTCTGCTTGGATCATTGTCACAGGTGGAGAACTGGACACAGGATAAGTAAGGCCCGTGGTTCTGAGAAGCCTTGGATCAGACCGACATGAGGGGAGATGCTTGGCAGTTCTGCTGTTAGTGGAGTCATTCATTTAATCTGATTTAATCAGATCTTTAACATTCCCAGAACCTTCCTTTATGTGCTGGGTCAGTATTTTATATTCTGGTCAGTTCAGATTCTCTGGGAGGTAGAGGACAGGAGGGAAATACCTATGAAACAGGTTGATAGATCCATAAATCATTTTGTGGCACCTTTGAAGGGAAGAAGAGGAAGAGGAGGAAGTAGGGAAGGAAGGGAGGAAGGACAGAAATAAAGAAGGGTGGGAGGGAAGGAAGGGAAAGGCAAGGGAAGGGGAGGGGAGGGAAAGGGAAGGGAGGGCAGGGAGGGGAAAGGAGGGGAAGGGAGAGGAAAGGGAAGAAAGGGAAGAGAGGAGAAGGAGTAAAAGACTGGATGGGAACTTTGGACTGAAATGGCCTGAAAAGCTTCACCAGGCTGATAGGCTATGCCAGGGCGAAGTCTGCTGCCTGCAGGGCTGCAGAGTCCTGTGCTAGGCAGCGGTTGCCTGGCCCTAGCATCCCTCCAAGCTGGTACCTGAGAGGAGTTGCCCTCCTCAAACCCTGTGGTAGACTCTGGAGGCTGCATTGACAGAGGGAGGGCTGTCCAGTCCCCGTGCCCCTTGTAGCAGGTTCTCTCCTAGAAAGACATGTGACCCTCCTCAGCTGCCACAGATGAAAAATTGCATTTAATTCTTGCAGTGACCCTTTGATGCATGTATTTAGATGAACTGCATCAAACTAGAATTTAGCTGGGTGGATTCTGAGAAGGGAGAGGGTAAAGGTAAGGGATAAAGTGGAGTTGAAGAAATGAAGGAACCTTGTTGGAGACCACTACAAAGCAGCTCTGAGCAGGATTTAAATTTTACTCATTGTCTTTCTATGTTTATCTGTGAGTCTGTCCTAGGCCTAGACCCCTTGCCTGGTGATGGGAGCTGATTCATAGTAAGTGAACCTCTATGAATCATTGGTCCTGGCTGAGGCCTGTAGTGGCCTGTGAT